GCATGTTGGCATGTTCTTTAAAAAATCGTTGTTCAGTCAAGGTCAACTGTATGTAGTTGTTTCACGCGTAACAAATAATAAGATTTTGAAGATTTTAATTTGGGCATGACGTTGTACCAAAACTCAAACAAAGAATGTTATGTACAAAATTATTTCTAATAATATATCAATAATATTTTTTTATTCCAATAAATGTGTTTATGTTTGGAAAATGATCTCATCAACCAAATCAAAAATCTTCCCCTTAGTATTACTAGCACGTGCAATGTTATACTTTTATTTATCTTATTTTTTATAATATGACATTTTAGTTATAAAAATATGTATATTTATTGAAAAAGTCTATTCAACAACACATTACCTTTTTTTTTAAAAAAAAAAATGATATATATTGAAAATCTATTCCAAATTTTATTGAGTGGAATTTAGGTATATCTTATATATATATATATAATTTTCGAATGTTCTTAGGAATTTAGGCGCCTAAGTGCAGGCTCACAGGTTTCGGGATCTATATGACAACTTTTCATGCTTTATCGTTTGGCTTAGATGCGTTTTAACTTACTTTGAATCCAAGAATAACTAGACCTAAAATATCCACAAATATATGGATATTTATGATCATTTTAAGAGCATTAACTGCATCTTAATATCATTTTATATTGTAGACATGGTTTGGAAGGCATAATTTTTTTCTTAATGTTTATTTTTTCCTTATCTTTTTTTTTAAAAAATTACGAAAAATCTACTAATTTAAATAATAATCATATTTTAAATTAATAATTTTTTTATTATTATCGATTTTTATGTATAATATATCAAATTAATAAATAATAAATAAATATATTTATTTTTAAAGTAAAAATTAAAACCTATTAATTAATTGAAAATAATAAAATTAATTTAACTACAAAGTAGTAGTATGATACAAGTTACAAAAGTTTTATAATACAAAATGGTAAGTCATATACGTGACCGATGTCATTTTAAATATAAATCAAATACATTTTTTTAAAATGTATTTTGAAAATTGAAATTGGCACTGACTGGCACATAAGGTACTGTTGTTGATTAATAAGATTATGAAAAAGTTGCTCCATTTTCTTTGTATCTTTTCTAATTACTATTTTGTTTTGTTTCTTACTTGACGAATTGAGAAAAAAATATATATATTTCCTGAAAATAGTAGAATTTGTGGAAATATACTTGATAAGGTCCTGATTAAGACCATTATTATTCTATTAAATGATTAAATTAGAAACTCATAATCGAACATGTTGATGAGCTGTGTGTTATATATTTTTCATTACTCGAGTTTTAATGAACATGCATTATGTTACTGTTAAGAAAATGCATTGGATACGTGCAAAGAGTTACATTATTTGCGTGATCAATAATTTTATATTAACGAAAGTGGAGATAATATAGTGGGGTTGCTACGGTCCACACGGAACCATTCCATCGGGGTTTGGAATCATTAATCAACTATTTCGACGGTTACATAATGATCTAACGATTACAAACTCCGACGAAATAGTTTCGTAATGTGACCATAGCATTTCCTTAATATAGTAATGTCATTACGAAATTGTACTGTTGACCTACCCAATCGTCCATATCATCAAGATATGTACCCTAGTTATGCGTAAAATCTAGTAAAATCTCGTGATTCATATTAATAAATGTATGATATGTTGGTCTTCTATGGCAGCTGATAAGTAGGTATATTAATTTATATTATCGGTGGACATGAGAGTTGAAATATATGCATAATATCTGAAAAAAAAATATGTTTGATGACTTATCGATTATAGATGAAGCGTCTTACCACTCAAGCTGTGCTTCACTGTCGGATGATCATCACTGGTTATTAGCTCCAATGGTGTGTGGTAGGAAATTAAGTTTAGCTTATAACTTAAATATAACTTTTGTGTTATTTATAGTACGATGGTAATTAGCTTAATTCAGTACAAAAAATTGTTATATACATCAGGAAATCTAACGATACTATATTCCAACAGATATTCCAATGTTATAGCTTTCGTTCGAATATTCCAACGAAAATAATCCGTTCGAATGAGTTTTCAATTAGAATTTTAGATGGAACTGATGATTCAAACAACTATTTTTCCAACGGTTTTTACCGTAGGAATTTCAACTTAAAATTTATACAGAAGTGCTTCTGACCATTTTTTTTTTAATGTGGTGAGTAAGAGGAGGACTAGAAGATTCACCTTTGACAAGAGGTAGATCAACAAAGAAGGTTCCCAAGAAGAAGTGCAAATGGTCTTGTCCAAACCTCAACTCGAAACACCATTTTATGGACTTAAAAAGCAAACCAAACAAACAAGAGTGGCTCTTTTTAGATGGAGTAAGTTGTTTAGAATAGGGAACAAAGAAAACTTTGATAAACTTACTTTATAGTTGGAAGATATGAGATTACTGGGGAAGGGATGAACTGGGAGGAATGGAAGGAGATCACAAATGAATTGGAGCAAGCTTATACTTCAGAAGAACACTTCAAGCAGCAGAAATCTAGAGTATAGTGGCTCCAAGGGGGACAAAAACTCTCATTCTTCCATGCATTATGCAAAGAAGAATGAGGAATGCAATTACCATGCTTGTTACTTAAGAATAGGATCTCTGAGTCCATGGAAGCCATTGAAGATGGGATATCCAAGTTTTATCAGAATTTCTTCACAACTGAAAGCTTTGAAGGCGAGGAAGAATTGATTCAACATATTCCTCAATCTATAATTGCATAAATTAATGAAAAGTTGACATCCTCAGTAGATGAGGATGGAATAAAAAGACTATTTTTCAGTTGAATTCTTTGAAAGCTCCTAGAGAAGATGGGACTACAATTATACTAATCACACTAATGGGGCCTTTATTCTAGGGAGAAACATACTTGATAATGTAATCATAACACATGAGGCTTTTCACTACCTTAATAGACACAGAACGGGTACTCATATTTGTGTGGCTATTAAATGGATATGATGAAAGCTTTCGATAAGGTTGAGTTGAATTGTATAAAGGTTATTATGTAGAAAATAGGTTTTGATGGAGTCTTTAGCAAATGGGTGTTTGCTTATATCACTTCAACCTCCTTTTATTTTATGGTCAATGGAAAAGTTGTGGGATATGTTGTGCCTTCTAGAGGATTAATGCCAGAAGATCCTTTCTCTCCCTACCTCTTCCTCATTATTTCTAAGACTCTCTCTGATTTAATTTAATCAGCTGCTCGAGAAGGGATTTCAAAGGTATGAAAATTGCTAGGGGTGGACCTACTTTAACCACTTGCTTTTTGTTGACAACTTTTGTAAAGCAGATACTAGTCAGGCTCACCTTTTGATGCATATTCTTAGCTTGTACAAGAAATTCTCAGGCCAGAAAGTGAACTTGGGCAAGTCCACAGTGTTCTTCAGCAGGAACACTCCATTCCACTCTCAGCATTGTATTTGTGGGCTTCTTGAAGGGATTACTCCCCACACCTCTACAAGATATCTTTGGCTGCCTCTGGGTATAGGGAAATCCTAAAAGAAAGCTTTTGATTTTGTCGTCTAAGCTGTAAGAAATAGGTAGGTAAACTGGAAAAACAAGTACCTTTCAACGCAGGTAAGGAAGTGTTGATAAAGGTTGTCATCAACTCTATACCAATCTTTTCTATGTCATGCTTTAAACTACCTGTTAGGATTTGCAAGGAATTAGCTAAACTCACTGCCTAGTTATAGTGGAGTAAAAGAAGAGAGCAAGGGAAAGGCGTTCACTGAAAGAGTTGGAACATGTTATCTATCCATAAACTTAATGGAGGGGTGGGTTTTCAAGACATAAGGGTTCTCAATGAGGCACTGATTATCAAACAACTTTGGAGGATAACTGCTCATCCTCAAATCCTTATCAACCAAATATTAAAGAGTAGGTACTATTCAAATTCTTCAATTTCTTAGGCTCTGAAAAAATCATCAACATCTTGGATGTGGAACAATTGGGTTGAGGTGGTACCCCTGTTAAAGCAAGGTATTAGAAGGAGATATGAGAAGTGATGCAAAAAAGGAATTCAATAAGCTGGATGGGTAGTTGGAAGTGAATATGGCTGGGAACCTTGTTTGGGTTAGTGAGTTGATTGATGTGAGTGGAAAAATCGTGTACTCTCGAGCTTGGCTAGTGGTGTTAGTAATTTGAATAATACACGGATCTCAAAATTAATACTCACGTGGATTATAAAATTCAAACTTATACTTATCATCATCTTTTGAAAATTGAATAATATACTGTTGGCAAGCTTTTTTTTAAACTAATTAAAATTTTAAAAATCGGTTAACATATTAAGATAAGTTAAGACTCAATTCAAAACTCAATCCTTCGAGATAAACACTTATTTATATTGACAGTATCATTTTGTTACTAGTACACAAATTTTAATTACTAATATTTTATATACTTTTAAACATGTTTTTTAGGTAAATTTTTTACACATTATATAGATTAAAATTATAATGTCCTTAGACATGTTTTAAAAAATTTAGGTGAATTCAAATTTTTTAAGAATAATACATAATATTTTACATAATCTTATAGATGGTATATACCATTTTAGGCGTTTTTAATATTTTAAACATATATGTTTTATGTTATCTTAGGCACGATAGTTTTATATTATAAATTATATCACATGTTAACTTCACTTTTTTAATTAATTATTATTATTTAATATTATTTATTCCTCTTTAATTTATAATTATTATTTAATATAGTTTTCTCGAACATCACCTGAGCTACGTACTAGTTTTTATACAATAACAAATGAAATGGTTTTTGGTCCATTTGGGCCGTATATGCAAGGCCCAATCTACCGCCTCTACTATTTTTTAACGCGCTGTCCTTTCTTCCACCGCTTGCGGAGCCGTCTTGTTTAAGCAAATCTCCCCTTCCACTTTTCGCCATCAATTCATATTGTTCAATCTAATAATTTCTCAAAGAGAAACTGCAACGAAATGGCTTGTAATCTGTACCGTCAGTTCTCGTCGTCGATCACGAGGGTTTCCAACCGCCGGCTCATCTGCACGACGGCTCAGCTATTCCAGAATCAGCGGCTAGAGACAGAGGGATCGCAAATATCCGATGCGAAAGAGAAGATCCATGAGCAAACCGAGGATGAAAAAAAACCGGCGCCCGATGATGAAGAAGAAGACGGCGACGAGTTGGTGAACAAGCAGACCGGTGAAGTCGGCGGCCCCCGCGGGCCGGAGCCGACTCGGTACGGCGATTGGGAGAAAAAAGGTCGTTGCTCCGATTTTTGATTTTAGGATAATTTTGTAAGTTATGCTGCACCTTTTTCCCGTTGGTCATCAGACATTCTAATAAATTATGCTGAAGGAAAATTGCTTTAAAGAAGATAAACCGATTGAAAGGTGTGCAATTAGTTATAGAAATTCTGAAATGTTTTGATATGGATGTTAGTATAATCAGATATGCAGTATACAGATCAAAAGATGGTAAAATAGAAGTTAAAGTTGTTAGAGTTGTATATATAATACAATTGAAGGCAAAACTTTGTCCCCAATTTCTCTCCTGTTTCCTTCCTCCTCTTTCTCGCTCCCAGAACTCCCTCCGCCGCTGTTTTGGCCCACGCTGCAAGCTTGTGGGCGCGATTTTGGTTCCTGCCCCGCCCGGTGTTCTGACGATTGACAGGTGGCCGCGGTGGGTTTTTAGGGTTCTGTGGTCTCGTGTTGATGTGGTGGCCGGCACCGATTGCCGTGGAGGTCTCCATCCTTCCCTTTCTTGTTGGTACTTACGACTCTTCCTTGGGATAGGAGTTGGAGTAGTGGGAGCCCCGGTGGTGGTTGTAGGCGGCGGTTCCGGTGACCGGCCGTTTATGTTGGGGGAGGGTGATGAAGATTGTGTATCAGAGACTTGATTTTGTGTAAGAACACAAGCTAATGATGGTCTTGGTTCGAACACGATAAAATGTGTAACGGCCTTCATTTACACATTAATAAGTGAAAAACTTACTATGAGCTTTGGTTTTTCACGAAGACAGTACTCAGAAACGAGTCTTTTTCTTATTTCTTATTTCATTAATCTTCTTCTTCCTTACAATAATAATATTTATAGCCTAAATCTAATAATTCAAATATTCAAATTATAACTAACTAAGTATTTAAATTTAAATTATAACTTACATATTAATCTATCTAAATAGATAACTAACATAACTAATATAAACTACTCTTGCTCATATACTTCATTGAGCCCGAATGCTCGGTTCGCATCAGAGGGGAGCAACGTGCAACGTGGGCTGCATGGTTTTCTTCGGTTCGGGTGTTTGGTTAGTCGTTGCTTGAATGGAGTTCCCAGATCCGGACTTTGGGACGAGCCTATGCCCTCTTGGGTGGTGTCTTGGGTGTTTGAGTATGGGGTTATGAGGGGTTGGCCGACTGGTGGGAAGGGCCCTATTCTAATTTGTTAGTTGCTTTTATGTGTTGTACGTGTTTTTTCTGTGTTTTTGGGGTTTTATTGTGCAGTGATGTTTTCTCATGTAGAAAGTACTCTATTATGGTGCGTGTATTGTGTATCAGAAATTCTATGGCACCACATGTGGCACCATATTATGGTGTCACAACATGATGTGGCACATTATAATTGGTGTCACAACTATCAGAAATTGTGCCAGTTTAGGCGTCTTTTTGTGTTGTCCTCTCACTAGTTTTACCTTTTTGGTTGCTCGATTTGGTTGATTGTAGATTGTAATTATGTGTTGTTAAATATAAAATTTTTATTACGAAAAAAAAAAAGAAAAAAAAATAAAGAGCAGAACTTTTAAACACTCTCTTTTCATTTTTCCGAAGCTTACACACATATCGTTTGCGTTTGGTAATTGGTAAGTTAGCTTTTTGCTCAAACTGCCAAATTGGAAAACGCTCCAATTAGTAGCGTTTTCAATCGGCTTTTTGCTTATCACTGCTAACATAAATATTTTTTATGTTTGAAAATATGAGGGATAAAAATTGATTTGGACTATAAATTAATAAAATATGAGGGATAAAAATTGATTTGGACTATAAATTAATTATGGAATTAACGGAAAAAGAAAAGGCAATAAATTAGCACTTAAAAAAAACAAAGCAATAAATTAACTATTTACTGCGTTCTTATATCTATATATATATAAACAGATTTACCATTTTTTAAAAATGGCAACTAAAATTCATTCATATTCTCTCTCTTCATTAAATATTTACTACTTATAGTAATATTAGTTGGCTTAATTCTCTCCCGCTGTCACCTTTTAATAAGGATGAGTTGTTAACTCTTTTCAATTTTTTCCCCACGTTCCCCACTATTTAAGGAATATAAAATCAGATTGATAAGGCAATTAAAATCTGTTGTAAAGAATCTGTTGATATTCGGCGCATGTATTAACATGCGCCGTGATTATTATATGTATTCGGCGCCGTGATACATACATGATACATACATGTATTAACTGTTGACGAATATAAAAAAAATTCTTTACATATTTTTTATATATAGTTATTTATAAATAACTATATGAATTTATAGTTATTAATATAGTTATACATATATTTTATGCATACATATATTAACTATATATTTTTTATAGCTATTAACTATATATTTTTATAAATATATAAATATATTTTATATAAAATATAAATATATAAATATTTATAAAATATATTTATAAAATATATTTATAAAATATATATTTAACTGTTGAAAAATATAAAATATATAGTTATATATTTATAAAATATATATAACTATAAAATATAAATATATTCCAAAATCATATATAAATATAAAATATAAAAATATAAATATAAAATATAAATAGATATGTATAAAATCATATATAAATCATATTAAAATATATATTAATATAAAATATAAATATATTTATATTAACTGTTAAAATCATATATAAATCATATATTAACTGTTAAAATCATATATAAATATAAAATATAAATATATTTATAAATCATATATATATTTATAAAATATATTTATATAGTTATATTTTTATAAAATATATAGTTATATATATATATTTAACTATGTATGCGCATATTTATAAAAATATGCGCCGTGATTATTTAACTGTTGATACATACATATAGAATTATTATACTTATTGTATTATATGTATTTATATAAATAAATACATGATATTCGGCGCATGTATTATTATTATTATTATTGTTATTATTATTATTATTATTATTATTATTACGTGCTTCTTAAGTAGTAAATACTTAAACATTTGTGATATAAATATACATTAATTAAAGATTATAATGCAGATGTCATTGGCATTGTAATTGATGGTACAAGTGTCCAAGAAAAACATGTGAAAAAGGGTGATACACAAATGGTTGCATTTATTCTCATGGATTTAGAGTAAGTATTTGATTTTTTTTTTAATGAAAATGTCAATAAACACGTAAATATATATTACTAATTTTCGTACATAATTATTTAAAATTATATAATTTTATGTACATATTCTTTATATTTGCAGTGAAAACTTGATTAACTGCACTGTCTGGGGAGAGTACGTAGACGAGTTTTTGGCATTCGAGAGTCAGTACGAAAAAACTGGTCAGCCATGGGTTTTAATAATGCAGTTTGCACGATCAAAAGAGTACTCACGTACGTACACTTCTTCGGTATAGTTATTTATCCCATTATTTATGTTGTCTTTGAATAATTTGTTTGTTCAATTTGATTAAAATTATAGGGAGAGTCCAAGTGACAACCTCCGTCAATGCAACCAAACTAATTGCACATGAATCGGTGCCGGAGATCGTTGACTTTTGGAATAGGTCATCTTTTATTTTTTTTTTAAAAAATTTTATTTATATTTTGTATTAATTGTCAATATACTTTAAAATATATTACTTAATTATTTTATGTACGAACATATAAATGTCTTACTTTTTTATTTAAGGTACACTGGCAGTAATTTGGTGGAAAGAAAGTACAATTCCAAGTCTAAAACAGTTGTTAAAACTGATATAGATAATCTGGATTCTGGTGACATTCATGTTTTATCAGTTAATGCTCTATTTGAGATTAAGGAGGTATTTCGTTTTTTCTTAGAATATACATGTGTATTTATATATATATATAGATGTATATATATATATATATTATTTTGGGATGTCGTTTACAATTCATATCTTTTATTTTGGCGAAGGTTACTAGCATTTGGATTTGTGCACGAATCGACTCTGTTGTAGATCAGTGGTGGTATTTTGCTTGTCGTAACTGCAGTAGTAAAATGATCAACTCTGATAACGG